CCAGCCAGAGAGCTACAGCTTCCCACAGGATAAAGGTCTAAACCTTTGTTGAAAATAATGTCCTCAGTCAGACCTGTTTTATACTCAGTCCAAAATATTTTTGCCCCACTGACTTATCTAAGTTGCTTTCATGCCTGGAGAACAGTATGTTCTCACACATAGTAGCTCCAAAGTTCAAGCCAATATTTCAATATTTAATATTTCCAATTATCTGCGTAGTGTATCTATAAATACTCTAAACAGATGTTATTATAGTTATTAATTCTATGATAATTACAGTATACAACATAGAATCAAGTAAAGGACACCATGGTCCTGACAAGGCTGTCTTTGATCTAAGATCAAAACTAATTTAGGTTGTACTGTATTACACTTGCAATTCAAGTGCTAATGCATTTGATTTAACAAAAAAACTAAGAAAGCCATTTATTAAAATCATGCCAGACGCTTTCACATTTGAGAGCCACACACATAGTCATCAGTTGCCGGTTAGGCTGTCAATCGCTCTAAAGGCTTGTTAAATGGTTTTGTAGGAAAACACCTTCCTGTAAATCCAATAAATCTAAACAAACAAAGTCATAGTGATGTGACAGTGCTTTAACAGGGAGTCAACTCTGTTAAGCATTAGACTTATTTCCAAAATAAGAAGTCTGTCTGCCAGTCGGACATCTAACTTGTTTAGGAAGCAATAATATTTCTTAATTCCATTAAATGAACAAAAGAGGCTTTTTTTCAAAGGCCATTGGACGTTTTGTAGCCAGTGTCACTTTACACTGGGAGTTCACCAGGCTTTAAGATGGTTAGAATTGACTGGCGTCTCTTACAGCGTGTCTATTAGGCCCTAATTAAATTTGGGGCTAAATATTTATAGTCCCTGCAGCAAGAACAGTGACTTGGCCCTCTCTTTATGATTAGTTGTGTCTCTGCCTCTCTGTCATTAGATTAGGTTGGAATCCCAGACGCTTGGAGTCTGTGCTTGAAACACCACCACAAATGGGTTAATGCAACCCAAAATTCATTACTATAACATTAGATTTATCTCGTAGACAGGGCGTCTCGCTCTTAAAGGTTACTGGATAAAAACGCTAGACCTTCACACTAAATTGCATACAAATTCAAATGCCATACAAGCCATCTAGCTCTTTCTTTCTGTCTCAACCTCTTAGTTTAAAGCTACTGTGTCTTTTCCTTTTACAACTAAATTATGGAATGTCTGAATGTCAGAAAACACAACTTGTAGCAAAATTATGAATTGCTTCAGACTGGATGCCAATAAATACATGTTGGAAGTCCATGTACACACTGCAGTTGCTATATATAATATTTTAAAAGCCATTCCATTCATACCATTTACTAAACTAACTTGAACCAAATCGCTTCTCGTGCATGCTGTGGCAAAGCTACTACTTGGATAAATTTGCTTATATTCGATCCAACTTGGATCACTTGATTGCACATATTTGCTTGCTGTCATATTTTTATGTCAGTGGGATAACTGTACTTTTTTTGAATGTCTGAATATCTATAACTAGAGACTATAGATGCTGTGGTGTAAATTACTAATTTACAGAATTGCTCTTCAGTGTTAGGAATATCCCTGAAGCTATTCTTTATTGTTGGAAACAATAGGACAACGAAGGCAATGACCCTTCCATGTCATGTATATTGTGCAAGTTTTGTGTTTACTTTTAAGTCCCTGTAAATTGCAAAAGTATAGTTTCATTCTGGAATAAATTGTTTGTAAGATTGCTAACTCTTTTCTTAATAGAGTTTATACAGAATGTGTAGCCTATACGCTATAGTTGTAGTACAGTACAGTGAACACCTAAACACACACAAAAAAAGAACAAAAAACATGGAGTTCATCATCTTAACCTCTTTGTAATAATGAGCCACATTCACATTCCACTCTGCAGGAGCTCAGAAAGTACTGAACCCTGAGCTCTGGCAGGGAAAGTGATACCGTCATGAATTACTCCAGATAAGCATGGACAAATGTTTCCATGTAGGTTGTTCTAATGTACATATGGTTCATTATGTTTTAATAAAAAATAAAAGGAGGCACGGGGTCTGAATATTTTTCCTGCACATTACAGGAAAGATACTCAAATTAAATAAATACTTAAGCCTTTCTGTGATAAAGCCCTCTCGTTTTGGAGCTGCACTAATCCCAGCATCCAGATCTTACAGTCAGGATAAACGGATCCATGTGTTGTGTCTATTATGTTACCCATATGATATCATGATTAAAACAAGACACTACAGAGCCCAGACAACACTCGAGGTGACCGGCCCTTAGACCCCTCTCCTCTTAAGTCCACACTCAAGTTATCTTCATGTCCTCTTCCCTTCAGATGTGATACGTACTTTACTGGCTTGCCCTTTGGATGACTTGCCAGGAACCCTCAGTGGCCGAACATTTTTCTGAATTTGTCCCAGGTGTGGACTGTGACCAGAGAGGTGAAATTCATGCACCATCACTCAGATTGATTGCCTCCTTCCTGTTTCTGGTGCTTCTCCCAAGCTGTCGGCTGGAGCTGCACCAGAGAAAAATGGCGGCGTATAGACCATCCATCCCTCACAGTAGCGCTGAGTGAGGAAAAGCAGACCACTGCCGCTCCCCTCTTCAACCCCAAACCCTTTCACGTAGTCGCCAATGGCTGTGTTAGACAGGCAACCTTGTGCACGCCATTTCTGTGAACATATACAGAAAGGAATGGAGAATGATGTCTTCTCACCCTTCATCGCTCGATCATGCTTCTCTGAACTCATCTTATGGCTTTGATTACAAGTTATTACCCTTCACTATCTTGGGACCCATTCATCATTCTGTGGGACCTGTGAGATCACTTCCTATCTGGAGCTTTTCCTGCCTTGTAACTGTCAAGCAGCACTCCACTTCACCTTGTACTCATCGTGGTTCAGCCCTAGGTATACAGCAGAGAGAAAAATAGCAGTTCTTCTTTTATTTCTAGTCTGCATTATTCATTCATTCATTATTCATTATTATTGATTGTGAAATCCTGTGCAGAGTTATATTCTGTTTTATGTGATGGTACGACAACCACATAGGCATGGAAGGTGATTTTTGTGTGCAATGTTTTATTTTCACAAACTTAAATAAAAAGTAAATAAAAAAGCAAAAGATTTTTTAATTACTGATTTACATAAAACAGTCAAACCTTTTCAATAACTTTAGAGGCCTGTAAATAGGCCTATTCAGTTAGCCTCACAAAGATGTTAACAAAGCGAACATAATTTTTTCCACTAAATTCTAAACAGTTTGTTGTAATTGTGTCATTGAAGAAACAGTAATTTAGCAACCCCATCTAAAAAAGGAAAGAAAACTGTGGATTACTGAGGTGGGCAATCTCAATGAGATTATCATTCTGCAAATCCAGAGAAGACACTGGAAGTTGAGGTCAAGGTGTGTGTGTGGCTGTGTGTGTGTTGTTACATTTACTTCATTATCATTATCTCCTTATGGGACTAACCAGTTAACTCACATGCGGGAGTTGTTGTTAGCTGCCACGTCTGACTTTCCAGGAAATGCGGGGTGACAGCTGCGCTTGTTATTAAGGAGCCAAAGATGACGCTTCTGATGACGTGAATGCAGGAAGATGTTAAAAAAAACTACAAATGATGATGATTAATTAAAACGTATATATTTTTAAATAAATGCAATATATATATATTTTTTGTTTTAATAAATTGTGTTAAAGCCTTGTAATATTAGACTTGCACTGGAATAGAGTCCTTTAATATTACCTGTGAACCTGATGAATCACAATTACAATCTACAGCAGGTCCATCTTTTCTTAAACCAGTTACATGGTACCAAGAAAGCTTAATAAGATTCTTTTTTTTTTGTTTTGCCCCGAAAAATTCCTTTTGGTCTACTGAACTACTATAATTGATGGATGAATTATTGAAAGCCCGTGCAAATTTCACCCCAAGTAAGTTTACTGCTTAATCTACACAAGGGAGAAAAAATTAAATAAAACATAGACCTATCCCAATAAGAGAAAAAAAAACTATTTTACTCGTCTTGTCATCAATGAGGAGGCAAATTGCCCGACGTTTTATCTCATAACGAAAAAAAAGTATTTCATCAGTCAGTGCTGCTTTTATTTACATCACTGGACTCCAATCACATTCACTCTTAACTCGGGGGTTTTCTCCTGCATCACCAAAGAAAGCCGTGTAAACTCCAGGCTGCACCCGAAAGGAAACTGGAGCAGGCAACTTGAGGATTTGGAGAGTTTCCTAATGTGAAGTGACAGAAGAGAGCTCTTTGTGGGACGCCAGCAAACTGGCGCCAGGTCCGCCTTAATGAACACATTCACTCATCCCTCGACACTTAATCAGAAAGTGGGGATGTTTCCAAAAGACGCATAAACGAATGTAGAGTCGGGCAGTGACTTATTATTATTATAATTATTATTATTATTATTATGAGTAGTAGTAATATTATAGGCTAAATTAAAACAATATATTATTAATTCCCATTACTACTATTGTTACTATAACATCATAAAAACCGAAATTGTTGAAAGTTACTTTAATAATTCATTAATGCTGTGTTACTAACCCTGTCTCCCTCTATCCACGCCCAGCGCTCTCTAATAGGTTCGGACAGAGAAGTTGCCTTGCCGAAGACGTTTGGCTCGTTAGTGTGCCATGTGCCTGAGAGGGCAGACTCCACGCCTCTCTCTGCCCTCACTCCTCAGTGCCACTGCAGCTTTCGAAACAAGCTTTGCGCATGGTCCCAAAGTGCGCTGCCCTCTCCGTGGTGGATCTACCAGCGGATACATTTAGGACCATCCTTGCCTTTTTGCCCCAGAATCGCTAGAAATCTGCGTTCCCTCATCTAAACTCTTGGCCATGCTTCGGAACTCACAAACTGTTAATAAGGTTGCCGCACTTTGGATGTGAACGCCCGTGCGCCTGCAGCAGCGAGCGGGCTGAGACTTTGTATTGTCAACCTTTTAGAAGACCCGATGAGAGATCCAATTGACACAGCGGCTGCCATGGCTTACCATCCTTTCCAAGCTCATCGACCAGGTGCCTTGCCCTTGTCAGCCTTCTTTGCTGCCGCGCAGCCCTCGTTTTTCCCTGCGCTCACTTTCCCAGAAGTCGCATCCCTGTCCGAGCCTCAGGACGCGGGGCTGCACGCAGCTCTGGGACGCCTACATCAGCCAGTTCACCCGCGGTCCTTAAAGAGCCTGCAGTCAGATGAAGGGCAGGAGGATGACCCGAAAGTCACTCTGGACTCACAGAATCTATGGAGTGAATTTCACAAAAGGGGGACTGAGATGGTTATTACAAAATCAGGAAGGTATGGCAAACTACTGCTCATTGACTCCATGACAGGTCCATTATAGGACTTATCCGGTTTGAAATGCCATCGTTTTAAGATTACAATATGATCAGATTTGTAGATGTCTTGTAGAAGAAAATACTAATGATAATAGGCTATCAATGTAAGAGTCATTTTTAAGTTCGTGATTACCAGTATATTAGTCCTTCTTAGGTCGGGGGCCACAGGAGACCTTAGTTCCAGGGGCCCTGTTCAATCCGTGCTATATTATTAATAACAATATCATACAATCATTTTACATTCTCACTCTAATCAGACGTTTAAATACTCCATATTTCATATTTTATATTAATGGGGAAACAATGCTCCAAAACCCATTTATACAGCCAATATTCGTTTATTTTCTGCCACAGGAGGATGTTTCCACCTTTCAAAGTGCGGGTAGACGGGCTGGATGAAACAGCAAAGTATATCCTGCTGATGGACATTGTCGCCGTTGATGACTGCCGCTACAAGTTTCACAACTCCGGCTGGACTGTGGCTGGGAAGGGCGACCCGGAGATGCCAAAGCGCATGTACATCCACCCGGACAGTCCGTCCAAAGGAGAGCAGTGGATGAGCAAGCCCGTTGCTTTTCATAAACTCAAACTCACCAATAATATTTCGGACAAACATGGATTTGTAAGTAACAATAACAGAACTTTTAATTATAGCATATATGACTTATTTTTAAACTGGCTGCACATGTCAATGTGAGTTCAAAGTGACCTTGTTACTTATTTTATCACTTACTTATCATTTAAGTCAGTTACATCAGGTACTAGGCAACTTGCCAGCAATATTCATTTTAGACTTTCTTTGCTTTAATTGTTGCAGACGATTTTGAACTCAATGCATAAATACCAACCCAGATTTCATGTTGTGAGAGCCAACGACATCTTGAAGCTTCCCTACAGCACTTTCCGGACTTATGTTTTCCCTGAGACCGAGTTCATCGCTGTCACTGCGTATCAGAATGAAAAGGTAACCTTCATCCTCTCACATCCTCCTTCCTCCACACACAGGCACACATGCACAAACAGCAAGACCTAATCTAGTTCTGTGCTTGCATTATAGCAGGTAATGCAACGATCCTGCAGGGCTGTGGATTTTATTTATAGGGAATTTGTTGATAAAAACACAAGTCTGGTGCCTTTTGGGATGGTTTGAGAAAATGAGATGTATATTTTAGGGTTATAAAGCCTAAAAAAAGATTCTCCAAAACTTGGTCCTCATTATGAACTTTATGGATACTAATGTTGCACTTATCTATCACTGAACAATGAGCTGTATTTTTACAATGACTAACTCGCTACTTTTTCTTTTTCTCCATAAGATTACACAGCTAAAAATTGACAACAATCCCTTTGCCAAAGGATTCAGAGACACTGGAAATGGGAAACGAGAAAAGAGGTATTTGTTTTTGCCTTCAGAATCCATCAGCATATTAAAGCACGTGCCTGCATGGGTAGACCTAATCTCAGTTTGTGGTACACAGGAATAAGCAGTTAAACATCTCTTCATTGCACGAGAACCGAAGCAAAGCGGACCAGGACTGTGCTGATTCTGATGACTCGTGTGAGCAACCCAGTACCAGTGATCCTTTGTATTCCCCTTGGGAGCTGGTGAGCAGCCCTCTGATGTCCACACCAACCTGTCAAGGTGGTTAACTTACAGTCTGTTCCATCATTAATTTCTATAAACCAAATGATTTTATACAGGACTTACCATAACTACTGTATTTGAGGATTCAAGAGTCTTTTACAACATGATCGTATCCATCCATCATTATCATGTGGGATTAAGATGTCACTGGATCGGGGACTCTGCGGTTACATAATGCATCTTTGAGTACTAGGATGGCAGCAATGTGAACATTCCAAACACAGAGGGAAATTGTTCAGCTGTAGACCTCAACCCCAATTTACTGTGTGACTCAATTTAACAAAACAAAAATAGTTTGCTTTAATGAATCATCTGTTTCTGGCGCCGTTGGGTTAGTCACAGAAGAACACTGTCTCACTCACGCCTCAAGATGTTTGCTCTAAGTCATCTCTCTCAAGAGTCTATCACCCCTGTCCCAATAGTGTTCTAATAATATACAGTACCAACAAGGCAGAAATATACTTTTTTTTTAACTTTTAACTGTAAAGACATTTAATGAATGTAATGTTTTTCCCCCACAGATGAAAACAACATTGGAAGTGATTCAGATGATGATCTACAAGATGAGGATGCTGCTGAAACCGGCTCTTCCAAGACTGAACATATGTCTGCTCTGAGCCAGAAGAGTGAGGAGCTACTGTGTAAGTCAGCTCTCACTATGAGCAATGGCAATCAGGACACAACAAAAGACAGAACAATGTTTAGAATGTCGGATGATATGTACTCGGTAGAGGTCGATTCTTCCAAAAAGCAAATGAATGAAATCAAAGATGGGGTCTTGCCTTTGGCGAGTTCATTATCCCTCAGCGCTGGACACCTACAGACTTTGGATTTCTCAAGCGCACACAGCCAACAGTTTCTTAAACTTGGGGCACCGTTGTTGTTTAATCCTGGACAGTTGTCAGTGAAGCCAGAGGCTTTTTCCACCACGGGTATGGGGCATCTGTTTTCTTCTTTGCCTGGAGTAAATAACCTAGAAAATGGAGGCCTTTCTTCTCAAAGCATCACCTCTCCATCACCCTTCATGTTTCAACTGTCACAACATATGCTGGCATCTCAGGTAAACTTCAGCAGGAGCACTGTATTCTAATGTTTTATATACACATATATTTTAATACACATAGTGAATAGATATTGAAAGCTGAGAATTTTCATCGGGACTATTTCATTGTTCTAAAGCACTTGTGGTGAAAACTGTTTACAATGAGGTGTGTGGATTATCCACAATAACCCTAAATTAAATACCATATATTGTCACGGCAGCAGAAATGTACACAGTGATATCTCTAGGCCCTCTCTAAGAAAAACAAAAAAATATTTTGGGATTTTGGGTGATCTAACCCCTAAATTGTAATGCATGAAATCATTAAGCCAGGAGACTATTATCCAGAGGAGTTGTTGGAGAAATTTCTTTCAAGAAATGTTTCAACTGGATAACTAGGAGAAAAAGGATGGTAAATGAATTTCTACTGTAACCCTCCCTTGTTTGAACCCAGTTGGCCTGTAAAGCAGGGGCTTGGAGAGTGTCTACACACTAAGTAAAATCACTCCTCATTTGAAAGGTTGCAACCTGCAACAAGGGGACACAAACAGATGTGGCTGTGCATTAAGGGGTTACAAGCAGTTTGAGCAGAATTTCCTGTAAATGGGTCTAGTAAAGTGCAGATTTATTCTATGTACTTCAAACTGACATTCTCTTAAGGATCCCAAACCTTTCTCCTTGGCATAGCATCTCCACTTTACCTACATTTTCCCAAAGAGTAAAAATTGGCCAGTTTCAACCTCAGAATAATTCTCTATGAAACAGATATAAAGTATATAGACCTTTGCAGTAAACTGGTCAGAGTCAATGCAGAGTAGTAAGTGTTAAATACTACTCTTGTTCCTTGATGGGATTAGATCAACTACCTGCATTGATGTCATTTGCTGACACATTGGAATAAAAGGTGTTAGAAACTAAATCCAATCACAGAAGCATGCATGGCATTGTAACTTCATATTTCTTTCTTCATATACAGTATCTACTTCTTCGATATTTAATTAACTAAACTGTACAGGTCTGTACATAAACATGTAAAAAGATCAGAAAATCCATGGTTAAGAAAATTAACTATTTTATTTTTTCGTACAGGGAATCTCACTGTCACCCTTTGGAGGACTGCTCTCCTATCCATATCGCTACATGGCAGCATCAGCCGCAATTGCACCAGCTCTTCCCACCTGCTCTGCAACTTCTACGCTGGCTAGTAACCACTGTTTCCGCAGCCCTCGACCTTGGTTGCGATTCAACCCTTATCAGATCCCCAACTCCGTCACCTCGAGCCAAAACCACCTGCATACTACTAGATCGCCCGGCAGTTCAAACTCACAATCTGAGGTGTCTAAATCAGGAAGCAGAAACTCAAGTCCAGTGTCTGACAGTCATAGTCACAAAAGCAAGGCCAAGCAGAAGACTGCACCACCCAGAAACATTGTGAAGGGTTCAGTGAATGAACTGCAAAATATACATAATCTGGTGAGAGGACTTGATAGACCACTTCCTCCACAATAGAATGGTGGATACCTGGTGATCGTCACACAGACAAGTTTATGAAGCTGCATCACCTAAAATAAGTAATCTGGCAGAAACTGCATGTTTTGCTGCTATTTAACTTGGTATTATCTCAATAAACTTGCCTAATAAAGACTGATTTGATGATTTGCAGGTCAAAAGACACCTAGACCTTTATGTCAACACTAGGTCTAAGTATATTCACTATCTTTCAGTGAAGCCGTTTCTAACTACATGTTAGAATATAGTCATTTCAGTACTTTTGAAACAATGGTTATATGCAACCTAAATGTCTAACAACGCTTTCACTTATTCAACCAAATTTAGCCCAGTTTTAACCTAGACATCAGGGACTTTTGATTTGCAATTAAAATGAAAGATGGTCCCTGGAATTTCTCTGGGGAAACCGAGCTATGCAAAACTCAATGCCCAAAGTGGAATGCTCTTTAAGGAAAATAATGTTTTTTATTGCTTTATTCTGTATGATGATGTAAATATTTTGTCATTTTTATTTTCACATACATGTATAAAACACGACTAATCAAAGCCTGCCAATGAGATGTGAAGACATTATATACCACCTATTCACACTTTCACATTCTGTTGATGCACCAAATCCGCACCATGGAAAACTCAGGATTGTTTTTTTATTTTTTTAAACAGCACTTGTAAAATGTGTTCAGTAATCTTGCAGGTTGTCTGCCAAATTATTCAGGTAAAATGCATTTTGTGTGCTTTTTTTTCACAATTTAAATAAAATCAGTTAGTAAGTAAAAATAGTATTGTTGATGTTAAATTTCACATTACATATGCAGATGTCTTTTGTCAGACATCACATTACGTATGCACTCTGCATAGAAATGTACTTGCTGTGTTAAACGCTGTTCTTACACACAATAAAGGCAAACCTTCATAATACAAAAAAAAAAATAAAAAAAAAAAATAGTGAAGCTCATTAGTGATTATTTTATTTTATAGAAGAGCAATGTCTGTACATGGACACATGTATTGTAGATGAATTTGAAGTGGATTCAAGAGTTCTGTTCAGTTATCTAATGAGGATTAGGATTTGTCCGGATGTTAAAGGGTAATCCTTTAACTTAAGCTCCTGTGTTTACCCTTCCTGGCCTGTCCTTGATTCTCAATGCCTTGTCCTTGGCTGCCCTTCTAACCACATTACTTTATTGTCACTGTCATTCAAAAGGCACAGTCAAATGCACTGTAAGGCAAAGTTGGCTATGAACCTACTGACTTTAATTGTGAAGTAGGGGTTTTGGCTAGCAATCTTAGACCACAAGTATTGACCATGTTTTTTTTTTAAACTGGCAAATAAAAAAATGTGACACTAAAGATTTAAAATTGTATTGCATTTTATTATTTGTTAAAAGTGGTGCTGCATAACAGCAGTTGCTGCTGCTATGCCCTTGGCCATAGTAATGGTGGCTGAGCAATAAAGGTGAATGAGTGAGTCTGCGGTCCCGCACACTTCATTCCACATGCATGAGTGCAGCTCACTGCTTGCAAGGGCAATTCCCAAAACATCTCTGCGTGTGACAGCAAAGCCCTCTGCACGTACATTTTTTCGAGCTGCACCAGAAATACTTTTTTGGGATACATAAAGGACATATTATTAACTCAAAATAATATATAGATTTAATAAAAGATGTATACATATTTTTTAACATATATTCACAGTGTCAACAGTGTAAGTGCATGCTTATGTATATGTAGAATATAGAGCAAAAAAGCTTCACAGGGAGACACTTGAAGGCCTTAGAAGACCTTGTGACACAAGGTCATGTCACTTTTTACTTTTTAGTCCACGCATGCAAACAAATGTAGCAAGCTGCTGATTTTTTGTTTTTTAACTGACCCCATAGTTTTTAAAGTATAGCCCTCTACCAAATGGTCGAGATGTTGTTTTATGGTTAAAGTACCGAAATTCATAAAAATAGCAAAAACATAAAATCATATATAGACACGTTTTTAGGCATTGGACCCACTTTATTTGTGGTATCAAAATCAAATTAGCTTAATGTTGCTAGGTTTACCATAAACTGACAAATCAACCATTTGGTTGAAGTCGTTTTCAAAAAATTTGTTAGACTTGTTTTGTGGCAATAAGTAACATAGTGCTGTTCATTGAAGCCTCTGACAGTATGATATGTCAAAAAAATATGCTTACCTTTCAATATTTCACCAAAAACAGCCCACATGTCTGGGGTGATTTTCCCGCTTTTCACTTCTTTGTTTGAGGGGAAATGAACAGGCCTACTACTATTTTTTTAGCATAACATACCGTAGCCGAATGGTAGAGATGGCTTAATCGGGTTGAATTGATTTAAACACTCACCTCAATTAGATATAGTGACTCAAAAGGTGATCTACCAAACTGGCTGGGGGTATCCCCCCCCAGCCAGTTAAAGAGATATATACAATATGCAAAAGAGATGGTATATCTTACCTTGGACAAAAGGTACAGCAGAGAAAATTCTCTGTTCATCCATGCACATGTTGTACACCAAGCAATGGAATGCTGCTAGTTTTGCTGATGATGTGTCCTCTGTCTGATTGACATCAGCAGGGATGTGGCACCCAGCGTGGAGGAAGAGCTATCAAAGGGAAAAGCCAGTATATGTATCAAGAGAGGTGGATACTATACTATATGCCATTTAAAAGGATACACCTGTAAAATTGTTGACACCTTTAAAGGCTCACATTGTCAGTTATTCATTTTTAACCCATTAAGATTGGGCTATTTAGTAAATAAAAGTTAGATAATAATAAGTTATTTTTTGTGTGATCTCTGGGGCTAGGGAAAACCAATCAGGAAAAGCAAAAATGTTTTGGCTTATATGAGCAAATAATTGGGAAAAAATAGGGCCATTTTGCAATACCATGTCTAGTTCTCCTTAATACATTGGCCTGTGATGTCTTTTCCATAGAAATGTTGCTTTGAAATAAAATCACAGTGCTTGAATTATCAATGCAAAACAGTACAGTGAAATGCCAGAATAAATAAATTGCAATTGTAATATGAACGATAATAAAATTGTCACTTGCAGGTTTGTTCTTGCTCTGGCACATGTTACTGCCAAATTAAAACTAAATATTGGTTCATACAGTTTGCAGTTTTTCTGTGGTGAGCAAATAAGTTTCAGTTTAACTACACATTCTGTTAACTGTGGACACATTGCTTGGTGGAATCAACTCAAAAACACTGTACTTCTTAAAGGTTAAATCTGTGGGTGATATTTTGAATTTCATCATCTTTGTAGAGAATAAAGAAGGAAGCTTTCATTCAAAATCTCTTTGTGTTCATTTTTCAGTCATAACAAAACAACCATGGCATGACCCTCCACAGCAAAGCTGTAGCTGTATGTGCGAAAAAGTCAGGTGGTCTCCTAGAAGAAAAATTGATCTGAAAGGCCCCCCTCTGTGCTGGGCTCCTTTCAAACCTCTATTGTGTCCATTTTCTCCTTGGCTGAGCGTGGCGTTACACTGAAAGCACATCTCCACTGGCTCAAAAATGTGCGAGGAGGTCAACTGTAAAGTTCTGCAGACAGCAAAAAATGTCTCCCTTCAGTGCTAGGGAGTTCTTGGGGGTTGGAGGGAGAAAGGGCCTCGGGCACCAAAGGGGGAAGGAGAGCTTTTTCCTGCCTCACCCACCCATATTCCTCTTCTTTAGGCCTAGTTGACAGGCAGGCAGTAGCATAGGTGTGGGGCTGAAAGCAGTTGTCTCACATTGCAGTGTGTGGAATACTAACTTAAAGACTATTAACTTGCAGGTAAGATTGTATTTAAACCACATGCCGCTGCCCTTGTATTATTAATCTGTGATGTGTCAAGAGAGGCAATACACTTTCTCAGGTCTGTAAAGCTCAGATGGGATTTTTAAATTAATCATTACCATTTGCATGACACAGTGTCAAAGCAACATGGTGTATCCCTGGACGCTGGAAGAATGTTCTGCATGTATTGGTGCTATAAATTTCACCTGAAAGTAAGTGAGACACTTATCTGTAGCATACAATATAAATAATGCTCTTAGCAGGGATCCAAAAAGCCTGTGTAACCGTGAATAAAGCACTAGAATGTATGCAGGGCTTTGCTAGACTGTGGATACATAAAGGTGTGCAGATGCTTAAAGTAGGATTAAGATGGATCTAACGGCAAAATTGAAGAATGCTAACTGAACACCGCTCGCTTTTGTATTTGACAAACTGGGAATGAGAACGGGCTGTGAGCTCTGCCATTGTCCTGAACTGACTGCACATAGAGATGGCAAACTAATGGCCTCTAAAGCCATCTAGTGGATCACAATTGCAGTAACACTGCATTTTTCGAAACAATATTTAATAGTTACATTAAATTTACTTTATAATGTTTTGACATTGGCATTGAGAGATTATTTCACTAGAATTAAATGTCCATAGTTTCTGACATGGATCTGATTTGGTTTCAGCATTAAACTTAAACATCAAGCATCTTGTTCTTACTTACTTGTTTAGTCAGCTATAAAAAATAAAAAAGAGGTACAATAGTGATAAAGGCAGATAAAGGAGAAGCCTCTGAGACCAAGTTTGTTATGTTGTGTTTTTTAATTAAATTTGATTAAAAAAATTTAATTGATAAATGATTGTATTTCACATGGCAAGCAATACAGCTTAACCTGCAGTCCATTCCACTGTCTAGTGGGAGCAATAAATGGCTTTAAAAAAATACTGTATGCTACCCTTTCACTGCAACAGTCTCTTTGGTCATTATTAGTCATTTGCTGTCAGACTATAGCCTGCAGCCAACTAGCTGAATTCTGCTCTTACTTGTTTGAACTTGTGCTGCAGTAACATTACTTATCTTTCAGAATGCCGGTTTGCATACGGCAGTGAAGAGCATTTGCAAGAGTAGTCCGCTCACTCATTAGTAAGATACTTTGCCTACATTATCACACACACACAAAACATGAAAAACGGTGATAAATTAAAAGTCTTCGTCCCATAAGTATTGGAATGTATTCTGACTAGACGCCACCTTTAACGCTTGTGAATTATGGGCAGATGTTTGGAAGCTGGTGCAGATGCAGATCATTTCACATTTACTGTACGCACAGCACACGCGGAACACGCATGAAGAGGGACCACCTCCTCCGGGACCCGCCCCTCCTGTCACCCTACTAAACCCCGCCCACAAAAACCGCTCTGGAATCTGATTGGTCATATGCGGGTGAACCCCTCCTAGATCTAGGTGAAATAGAAAGTATTTCATGTACAGTGAATATGTTCTTCTTTTGTTGTTTGATGTAACTGTGATGTATGGTATGCTAAGAATCAATTGTTTGATTGAATAAGAACAATGCTGTAATAGTGGCCTGTGGCATTAAGATTGCTATAGATCGAGCACTTTATCAATACCAATGGAGTATTCTTACAGCAGCCAAGTCACAATTGTCACAAAGACAAAGAGCGTGAAGAAAATCAAAGGCAGAGAAGAAATAAAACAACAAAACATACATAATAGTAATAAAGTTTTAAATGTAACTAACTCAAAGAGGATTATATATATATATTATTATATTATACACTCACTAACTATAATATGAAAGTCCCTGGTAATTAAAAGTGCTTCAGTAGCAATATTGAAATAGCAATGAACTGTTTTAGCTTTTTCTTTTTTAGTTCAGCTGTTCATTTCAATGAGGTTTAGCTCTTCACACATTTGATATTGTTTAATAGTTTAATTTAGCAATATTAAGAGGCTTTTTTATGCATGATTAAGATTATTTCCACTTTTAAACTACGTAGATTAGAATACCTATAATCCACTTTAATGAAAAATACATAAATAATAGTAAACGAGTGAAGGCGTCTGAAATACTTCATTTCCACGCACACTTTAATGTCATTCCCCACATAGTCTTTTCTACCTGCTGTGTGTCTATAGCGGAAGCCGCGGTCAGAGGTCAACGTCCAGGAGTAACCCGCCTGCGCATCAGCACATCACCCCACTCTCTGCTGTTAAAGCGTCTGCCGGAGCTGTGACCTCATCACGATGTGATTTTTTTTTTTTCCCCATCACCACTGGAAACCGACATGTCTGACACACTCAGCTCATTTATCGATCTCTCGGAGTGAACTTTTTTTCAGGATTACGTCTCGGTTTATCTCCACCGGTGAGTTGCTAGCCCGGACGTTTATATCTCAGATGACGTTACACCAGTCTGCCTGTCATGAGCTGCGTTCACAAGATTTCGAGCACGCTGCATTAACGTGACAGTACACCGTTAGAGTGCAGTCAGCAGCACTGTCGGAGTGCCGGTACTGTGGCATTATAATTGTATTAGCTTCTGCCGGTAAGCTAGCTAACGCCTACCTTATTATCAGCATATTATCAGTCTGTGGCTGCTGGTGAGCTAGCTGTGACTACACAGGTAACGTTAAGCAGCGGCTAACCTTAGCTAGAAGGCAGCCTAACATATTCCATTTAATAAAATGGTCTATGTCCGAATTTCCAGTCTGTTAAGAAGCTAAATGCAGTTCTCGGCATCACTGTGATGTTCCCCTGGCTCACGTTTGCAGTGTGTGTTTCAGCAGTGCTCGGCTTGTTTTTCTGGTCCCGCAAGCAGCTATCGTTAGGTAAGGTGTGCCCACGTTATTACCCGGGAGTTTACTCTACTTGCTTTAACGATTAGTTGTATTTAAAAAAAATAAAAAAAAATAATAATACGTTAGTTGTAGCAATGTAAAGAAACAGACATGTTGTACAGCACCGTCATTGTTTCCATAGGGTGATGTTAGGACACCGTCGGTAACTTAGCTACTGAACGAGAAAGTGAAGGAAGTCTGACACTAGAGTAGGTAGTATTAGTATTAACAATAAGATGTGCTCTGAAGTCAATTCATTCAACCTACAATTGTAGTCATACAATTGTGTCAACCCTTACATTGGCTAGAAGTGTTTTTGTGTGCATTGGTTTGAATTGGCAGACAAGTGTATCTCGCATGCAGGCAGGATTTGTGCATGTTTTACAGAGTGCAACCTGTTGTATGCTTTTCACATAGGCAGTGTTGTTTCATGTGGCTGCAGTTATCTGAGCCTGAAAGAGTGCTTCAGGGGCTTCTGACTGTTTGGTTACGGCTTTTAACCAGCATTTGTGCATATAAAGCAAACAATGACATTTGCATACATATGCATGTGTGCAAATGTCATTATTTCATCCTTCTTGAATTCTGATATACAGCTGTATGTCCAACAATGGCACTTTTTTTTTTTTAGATGTTGCACACGATGTACTGATGCTCCCAGTGTTCAAGTTCAAGTGTTGCAATATCAGTTGATTTATCAAGATTAAGTTCATGTAACCCACTTTTGCAATATGACAAACAGCATCACATGTCGGTCAAGACAATCTTGTGTCACACTGTACCCTGATATTGGACTCTGTATCGCCTTTATAACTGTTGCTGCCACTGTTGTGTTTCTTGCCAGTATTCGCAGCCTGTTCGTGTCGCCCAGCCATGGCACAGCAGGACGGTGCTGCTAAGAAGAACCCCGCCGTTGCGGTGTTGCACTCTCACTTTCTTGTGGGATCAGTATCGGAGGAGAACTCAGAGGATGAAATCCAGGGAAAGCCTGACATCCAGCTGGAGGAAAAGGAGCCCAGATCCTTGTCACCATCATCCGGTAGCTCAGACAGCACCTATGAAATGGGATTTGACCATATTGATGGCCCCATGCACAATCTAAGGTTGGGATCCAAACCTGGTCTGTCTGAATTGCCGCTAGTCTCTCGATGTGCATTTACAATTGTTCGCCTAACATTGTGATCATGATAGTGGTTGTGTGTGGATACAGGTTTGTTCTGTGATGACTTGTTCCGGTATTCTAAAGCTTTTCTTTTCTCAGGCTTGCAGACCAATTTGTATCAATAATGTAACATGTTGCAGAAGCCACTTGAAACATTTTCCTAATTTGGAAGTTGTTCGAGGGTTTTAAATAATGTAGTGTTTGTTGCAATTCCAGTATTTTTGGATTATTTGCTTTTATTCAGTCATTTTTAAACTTAGTCTTCCCATAGTGACACATGAAGACATTACAAAGACATACTTGAATTACATTATTTCTTATTGGTTATAAAGTGTGCACATGTGAGATACAAATGGGGAACCTGCAACTTCAAATGCTGTTTTTATGAGACTAGTCCTGTTTGAGCAGGCCTTGTCCAAAATGAGTACACTATGTTCTGACTTTGCACTGACTAGGTAGCCCTGTTTGCAGCACATGTGAAAAAAAAATGTGGTTTCACTAACTGCACACTGCTAAAGGGTCTCTCTGTGTCCTGAGTCTGTGAAGTAGGCCTGGAAAGTAGGCATAGACTTCAGAATGTTGGTTTGGAAAAGTTCACACAGAGAGATTCCTGAGCTGAGTTTTTACAAGCTTGAAGAAGTCTTTCTGCCAGCCGCTGTTTGTTCACTGGGCCTCGACGTAGGCCTTTAACTTCACTGTCACTTTCACAGATAGGGGGTGCTTGTACATTTGCTTTGAATACTCACAGAAGACTTGGGTTTGTGATTCGAATGAGATCGCATGCTGATGTAGGTGACTGCCTACAGAATATCTTCACCGTAATTACATGCTGTTTTTTTTTCCAGTTGACTGAAGTGGGTTAAAAACTGCTTTCATACATGGTTTCTAGATATATTATATTATAAAAATATTATATTCTATTATTCAGCCAATCATGTGCATAGTGTCAGGAAATTGGTACGTCCTTGATCTCAATAGCTGCTTTGTCATGTCCGGTTTTGTGTGATCAGTTTCACAAGGACAAAGGGGATGAAAAGGGAAATGGAATGAAGCTGGGAATGCAGTTTTAAAACTAGATGTACTGGATGGGGGCGTCTGTCTCCTCCACCCCCCTAATTGTCTCTCTCATAGGACAGGACAAACTCTGGCAGCTCCACAGCTGGATTGAAACCAGAGCCTCCATTCAGTAGGGGCTCATTTTCCTTGTTGCGGTAACCCCTACAGTGATGCAATAACGCAGGATCAGGCCACAGAAGCCAGCCAGCCAAACGAGCCCAGGCACTGCCACACCTTCCAGCTGATAGTCATATCCCTCCCCCTGTACATACCCTTTCCCCCATGTGGTTCTCCTGCAGGGTGGAGCTTGATTCAAAGAGCTGTTGGAGGTGCTTGTCCAAGCATGTCAATATGTTTGAGGACTGTTGTTTGAAGTGTTTCTGTCCTGTTGTGCACAATCCGATAGGCAAACAGTTTCCTTCTTGAAAGTCTTATATTATTAGCTTACCTGCAAGATGTCAGTTGACTCTTTACTTACCATTACCATCATCCCTATTATTAGTGAGTTTACCGGTTCTGCTTAACATTTACTCCAAGGGGGAGCGGTTACTCACCAACAAGCTATAAAGCTTAAGATAAGAGACAGTAGTCAAATCCTCTGCGTCCTATCTATAGAAGGTGATATCATTATCTTTTATCTGCTGGGCTATAAACATTAACTGTCTTTAAAGCACATCTGCTGTGAAAGAGTTATGTGGTAGTTGGCTTTTAATTTATCTTAATGTTAATTGCATAGCTACCTAACAGCCCCTTCTTTCCAAAACAAGAGGCGTTACGAAGGGCCATTACATGCATTCTTTGTATTTCTTGAAACAGGCCAAGCATGTCAGGGCTGCACCTGGTGAAGCAAGGCAGAGATCGACGGCGTATCGATCTCCAGAGGGACTTTACTGTGGCTTCTCCTGCTGAATTTGTCACCCGCTTTGGTGGCAACAAGGTTATCGAGAAGGTGATGATTATTATTTTGCACATTCCTGTAAAGATGCTGTGAAGCACAGAATAAATTATTCCGTACTCAGAAAATAATCCCAACAATATGTAGAACCTTTTTAATAATTAAGGTGTCTGTGTCTTTGCATTACATAGCCATGAACTAAAATTACAGCATAAAGTCATATTGCATATAGCCACAGCACTATGTGGACATACACCAGCCATTATTATTGGATTATTTTAATTAATGTGAGCAAATTAACATTTGTAACTCAACTATTTTGCTTCTCCAGGTGCTTATTGCTAACAATGGCATTGCTGCAGTCAAATGCATGCGCTCCATCCGCCGGTGGGCCTATGAGATGTTTCGCAATGAGAGGGCAATCCGCTTTGTTGTAATGGTAACCCCAGAGGACCTCAAGGCCAATGCAGGTGAGTTTTAGCATCTGGACATGTAAAGTGCAGTAAGTGCACCAACTGTGGTGCCACTAGCATTGCTAAAGTCCCCAGAGCCTGACGTGGAATTAATGGACAGTTTATGCCTTTCAGCTCTTTTTCAGTGCACGTAAACACCATAGCTAGACAGTACACCAATAAGGAATAATGTAGATGTGACTGCAGTAAAACCATTTGGGGGGAAAAAATGTTTTTCTGTGTTTCTGTCTTTTACAGAGTACATCAAAATGGCAGATCATTATGTACCTGTGCCAGGAGGGACTAACAACAACAACTATGCCAATGTGGAGCTCATTCTGGACATTGCTAAACGCATACCTGTTCAGGTACCACCACACACTTAATATATCTATAGTTTCCCCACTGTGATTCATTATTTTATCACTGAGTAACTGTTGTCCTGTATTCCTTACAGGCAGTGTGGGCTGGCTGGGGTCATGCCTCGGAGAACCCCAAACTTCCAGAGCTGCTTCACAAGAATGGCATTGCTTTCATGGGTAAGAAAAGCTTCTTACTCTATCACTTTGTTCACTCTTTAACTTACTTTCACATTATCAGTTGAGTTTAGTGATCTAGAATGCTTATTTTAAATTCCTTACTGCTTCCTCAGGTCCCCCAAGTCAGGCTATGTGGGCACTAGGAGACAAGATTGCTTCATCTGTTGTGGCTCAGACTGCTGGCATTCCAACCCTGCCCTGGAGTGGCTCAGGTAGGTCACGGTTTGTGTGGGGGTCCAGAGATAATCCCTTTGTTAAGGTTGTTTATGGTAAAATAGAAGTGTGTTTTATTTTTCTAAAAACAATGATTCTTGAATTCAACCAGATGTGATAGGTGTTTTGGTTTGAGCAATAGTAAATGTCATTAACACGTTATTAACATCATATAAGTTAATTGAAAAGTATGTATGGGGAATATTATATCTGTTTGTCTTTCTCAGGCCTAACAGTAGAATGGACAGAGAGCAACCAAAAGAAGAGAATCATCAACGTTCCTACTGATGTGTATGAGCTTGGCTGCATCCAGGATGTAGAGGATGGCCTTAAAGTAAGCTTGTCATCTAACTGGCCATTCATAATGCCAAATTAATGTCGCTTGTGCTTAAGTATAATGTGCATGTTTGCGTGTATGCTATAAAGCTGTATGTTTTCATTCCCAGGCTGCAGAGAAGGTCGGCTACCCTGTGATGGTGAAGGCCTCAGAGGGAGGTGGAGGAAAAGGCATTCGTAAAGTCAACTGTGCTGATGATTTCCCTAACCTCTTCAGACAGGTAATTGGGAAAGTGACATTGTATCGAGTTTGCAGGACTTAACATATTTCGGAGTAGGTTTGAATATATCATTAGAGATCCAAATTTTTTGTACATTCGTTGACTGCAAGGATTTACTTTCTCTTTTTCTCCAGGTCCAGGCAGAAGTTCCAGGATCACCTATTTTTGTCATGCAGTTAGCCAAACATGCCCGGCATCTAGAGGTCCAGATCTTGGCTGATCAATATGGCAATGCCATTTCCCTGTTTGGGAGAGACTGTTCTGTGCAGCGGCGGCACCAGAAAATTATCGAGGAGGCTCCGGCTACCATCGCCACTTCTGATGTGTTTGAGGATATGGAAAGGGTACAACCCACGTAGCATTGTTTGTTTTTTTTGTACAGCAGATAAATGGAGTTCTGAGACCAACTAAGTAAATTCAGATTAATTGAACCTTGATATGAATAGAGTTGTTTTCTCTCCTCAGTGTGCAGTGAAGCTGGCCAAGATGGTGGGTTACGTCAGTGCAGGTACAGTGGAGTACCTCTACAGTCAGGATGGCAGCTTCTACTTCCTGGAGCTCAACCCTCGTCTGCAGGTGGAACACCCCTGTACCGAGATGGTGGCTGATGTCAACTTGCCTGCTGCCCAACTCCAGGTCTGTCTCAAACAGACATGCCTGCAGTGTCACAAAGAGCACATTCTGTTACATCACACACAATACGTTCGAGTCTGTGACTGACCTGTAGACAAACGGACAAAGTAAGCACGCTTCACCGCTCGGCACTAGACGGGGCCCCTTGTCTCCATGGCAACCTGCTGCAAAAGGAAGGAGGCAGTACGCAGAAACAGTGTAGTAGATCCAGTGGTTGTAGCAGCACTGTGGTCACGTGGTCTGTTCTGCAGTGTTTAGGATTGTGCATAAATAGGTCAGTGGCAGTCGAGCTGAAGGGCAGTGTGGCTGGGAAAGCTTTGTAATCAAGCTGATTGGGTGTTACTGTAGGAGTGACGCACTGTCTGGCACAGGGGACAAGAGTATCGGGCAACAACAAAAGGACTCACTCTCACCCAGATATTGTTAATCGGTTGTTTAGAAAGCTGAAAACACAACATTAACAACTATCAGATGAGCATGCCAGGAAGATGTATGTGGTTCATTCAAAGCAAATATTTTCACAATGAACATAATGTGTTGTTAACCCTGTGTGTTCAGGGCCTGTGAGCCTGTCCCTGATGTTCTATATATGTCAGTTCAAGGGCATAAACTTGTATTGTACTAATGCCACTATCCTCTGTCAGATTGCTATGGGTATTCCTCTTCAGAGGATCAAAGACATCAGGATGCTTTATGGGGTCCAGCCATGGGGAGACTCTCCCATTGACTTTGAGGGTCTGTCAACAGCGCCCTCCCCACGAGGCCATGTCATTGCAGCACGTATCACCAGTGAAAATCCTGATGAGGTAAACAAAGTATTTGATCACTGTTCTGTTCCTGTTCAGATTTTCACTTTGTAATTCTGTTGTACGGTAAATAAAGGCTGTTGTTATTACTTCTCTGAACGTCAAAATTAGCTGGTTTTGGTTTTGGCTGAGTTTAGTGAAATGTGGTGTGTGTGTATATGTTGTGATCGCAGGGTTTCAAGCCAAGCTCTGGAACGGTGCAAGAGCTGAATTTCCGCAGCAATAAGAACGTGTGGGGCTACTTCAGTGTCGCAGCGGCTGGAGGGCTGCATGAGTTCGCTGACTCCCAGTTTGGACACTGTTTCTCTTGGGGAGAGAATCGGGAAGAGGCCATCTCGTGAGTACACATAGAACAATAAAAACACTGCTGTGTGTGTGTGTGTGTGTGAAAGCTCACTCAAAAGCCATTTATTCATTGGTATATATTTACTATGGGAGATATTTTTTATGCAACTGTTCAATCAAACGGTTTTATAGTTGACATATGTGGTTATGTTCTTTTGCAGCAACATGGTGGTGGCTCTGAAGGAGTTGTCTATCAGAGGAGACTTCAGGACCACAGTGGAATACCTCATTAAACTGCTGGAGACTGAAAGCTTTCAGCACAACAGCATTGACACAGGCTGGCTGGACAGGCTTATCTCAGAGAAGATGCAGGTATACAGAGATGTTCCAGCTGTGGCCACTGGATGGTCTTAAAGAAAACTCTAGTGAGAAAAGATATGGTTGACATACTGAACCATATTATAATGTCAGTGTTGATAATAGTTAGATCTTGTGGTTTATGCCCATGGCACCATGCGGTTTGAATTTAAGCTTGAATGTTTGATGTTTTACTGGATAAAAATTAAAGTGTATGTCATGGGCAGGCAGAGCGTCCCGACACCATGCTGGGAATTGTGAGCGGGGCTCTTCATGTTGCAGATGTCAATCTGAGGAACAGTGTGTCCAACTTTCTGCATTCTCTGGAAAGGTAAAAATATGGCATATCACTGTAAAACCCTTTTATAATAAGTATAGTAAATACTTGTGCAGTGTTTGGATAGAAAACATAAGAACGCTCTCTGCTCTCTGACCAGGGGCCAAGTGCTGCCAGCACACACACTACTTAATACTGTGGATGTCGAGCTGATCTACGAAGGTAATAAGTACGTCCTGACTGTGACACGCCAGTCTCCCAACTCCTACGTGGTCATCATGAACAACTCCTCTGCTGAGGTGGACGTCCATCGGCTCAGTGATGGAGGTCTCCTGCTGTCTTATGATGGAAGCAGCTACACTACATACATGAAGGAAGAGGTGGACAGGTAAGAACAAAGCTTTAGAATTAAAATATCATTACTAATTCAGCCATAATTTTATCAACTAGAATAAAACGTAATTAAAAAATATTTACACATCATTATGCTGATAAGTCATTGCCTGAAAATATCTCAACTCAGTTAACAATGTTACAGATATTACTTAATGCACTTGCATCTTATAATTTCTGGTTCTGTTACAACTAAGTATATTTTTTTTCCTACAGGTATCGCATCACAATTGGGAACAAGACTTGTGTTTTCGAAAGGGAGAATGATCCTTCGCTGCTGCGCTCTCCTTCAGCAGGAAAACTTATCCAGTACACAGTTGAGGATGGCGGGCATGTGTTTTCTGGCCAGTGCTATGCTGAAATAGAGGTACAATATGTTATCTGTATGTTGTCCACAAAAAAAGATGGAATCTGTTTAAATTCACTTTATTTTTCTTTGATGAGTTGTATAGATGTAAACTCTGTACGTCTTCTAATTCCAGGTGATGAAAATGGTAATGACCCTTACGGCTGCAGAGTCTGGTTGCATTCACTACGTGAAGAGGGCTGGAGCAGCACTGGAGCCTGGCTGTGTCATTGCCAAGCTGCAACTGGATGACCCAAGCAGAGTGCAGCAGGTACTATATGTCTGACTAATGCGATGTACGAAGTGGTATGCCAAGTAGGATTTTCCATATTCCTGCTACAAAATGACCCACAATATGTCATATTTCTTTATTTAGTTCACAATATTGGCATTCAAAGTTGCTTCACCTTTTTATATAAAACTTTTTTCAGTCTCGCTTTTAATATGCCTTTGGGAAAAAGTTGTATTGATCATGCTGTAAAGAATATAAAACGAAAAAGACATAACCCATACAGATTTTCCTTCATAATGTCTGTACTTTTTAGCCAGTATGGTAGTAAAATAGGTCTGAAATTGCATTTATAATAGTCTTAAAAAGTCTTAAATTTAACCTGTTGAAACTGTTTTAGCTTTCAGCTTCTATCATGAAAAGCGACAGCCTTTAAAAAAAGTCAGAGATCTACATTTCCATATACAAGAGATGCACTCTACTCCACACACTCTACTGTGGCTTTATATATTAGTTAGGGTGTGTATTCTTTCATTTTTGCTTATGACAAGTCACTTTATGAAATCAAAGCATCAATGAGGCAGGAAATTGAGGCTGCCACCAAAGATGATTGCTCAATTAGCTGAAGGAAAAGGGTGTGTGAATAAACATCTGAACCAAGCTAATGTCACTTCTGGTGTTGTACCAATATCCAAAGAAGGACAAAGTGGAAGCTACACATTTTGGACTACTTTCTTGGATGGACATTATTCACAGTAAATGCAGGTTTGTTTAACTTGCATGTAGCTGCGGTAGCCTGCCACTACTTCCTACTAGACTATCAACTCCCATTGACAATGCAACATCAGCACATTCACACCAGTGTTGTAAAATAAATATTTGTGTTTGTCTTGTAGGCAGAGCTTCACACAGGGGCCCTGCCATCTATCCAGGCAGTGGCTCTGAGAGGCGAGAAGCTACACAGAGTCTTCCACAACACACTGGATCATCTTGTTCACATAATGAATGGCTACTGTCTTCCTGAGCCTTTCTTCAGTGCTAAAGTAAGAATTCATACACACCTGTGGTACACACCAACATCAGCTTTTCCAACTGTAAGCAGTTCCTTAAACATACAACTCCTGTGTCTGTCCTAGTTGAAAGAGTGGGTGGAACGGTTGATGAAAACAATGCGTGATCCCTCTTTGCCACTGTTGGAGCTTCAAGACATCATGACGAGTGTGTCAGGTCGCATCCCCCCCGCTGTGGAGAAAGCTATCAAGAAGGAGATGGCTCAGTATGCTAGCAACATCACCTCTGTGCTCTGCCAGTTTCCCAGCCAGCAGGTGCGTCCACCAACATGTGCACACCCCACGCTAACTAAGCCCACAGAATTCTGTTTAAATGTACCTTGTCTATAACAGTGAAACTCCTGTTGAGCATTTTGCTGTTTCTTTGCCCGCAGTAGTTTTGTTTGTATTCCACAGTTAACCCTGTTTCCAGGAGAACAAAGGGATTAGTTATGAACACATGTAGAGCACATTTTTAATGCTTCCACACTAGATCATGTACAAAACAGCAGTAAAAACCTGTTATAACAAATATATGGAGTGTTTTCCTGTATCTCCAGTAGTTTTATTAGATCAGCACTGAGATTTCTCAACTCTGCACTTGGCTAGAATACTGTGTCCCCAGTTTCTTGTGCAAACAAATTATTTCACAATGTGTATGTCTGTGTCTGTGTCTGTGTGTAAAAGATGTCAACAATTTGCTGAATTATGTAAAAAATACAGTGGATTTGATGTGTTATTACTGGTTAAACATTTTGGACACTCCATATTCATTCATACTTTAGGAATTTTATATTCATGCATAATTTATAAATAGCAAAGGAAGCACAGTACACTAATGTCAGTAGTAGTGAAAGGGTCACACACTGCCAACAATATTTATCTCTTGTTTAAATCATGAGTTTGGATCTGGATAAAATGGTAGCAAGCTAACTGAGGGGTCATCACTGCCACTGGGATAAAATGCTTATGAGTCTCCATTGCTGTTGGGAATAAATGCTTATATTGTTAATCTCCCTTGTTTCCAGATTGCAAACATCCTGGACAGCCACGCTGCTACTCTTAATAAGAAGTCTGAGAGAGAAGTCTTCTTTATGAACACGCAAAGCATTGTTCAGCTGGTACAGAAGTGAGTATGGTACTCTATAGCTCAATATAATGCAAAGCTTAACACACTGATTACAAAACTCTTAATGTAATTTGCTGCATGACTGAGAGTGGTTTACTTTATATTAGTTGTTCTCTTAGTCACTAGATCTCGATTTTGTCCATATGCCCATCTAGTACAGCGCTGCATTGTTTGTTTCAGACCAGACTGTTTTTGTCTCCAACAGGTATCGCAGTGGCATCCGAGGTCACATGAAGGCGGTGGTGATGGACTTGCTCAGACAGTACCTGAAAGTAGAGATCCAGTTTCAGAATGGTGAGGAACAACAACAACAGCAGCACACTTAATTATTGGTTTCAAGTGCTCATTGTGGTGGCACATTGCCACATGCAAGAGTAATGTGGGTTTAGCTTTGCTGTCCTACAAGTTCTTTTTTAGAAAAACTGCACTTACTGATTGTGTCCACTTGGTGGGGCTCTTCCACAATAAACCCCTGACCACCTGTGCATTTGCAGTTCCCCTGTGCAGTATATTTGCTAAGCTACTTTACTTGTTGGTTTGTCAACAGGACACTATGACAAGTGTGTGTTTGCCCTGCGTGAGGAAAACAAAGGCGATATGGCAAATGTGCTCAACTATATCTTCTCCCATGCTCAAGTCACCAAGAAGAACCTGCTGGTTACAATGTTGATTGTAAGTGTGTGTTTGAAAGACTTGATTAATAACTGATAAAAACAGACTTGTCCTTTTGCAGGGGATATTGACTCCTTCATCATATCTTATTCTTGACTAGAGTGTTTTAAGATATCTAACTTATGATGTTACGTAATGTTATCATCTGTTTTGTCTAGGACCAGCTGTGTGGCCGTGATCCCACACTAACAGATGAACTGATGGCCATCTTGACTGAACTCACCCAGCTCAGCAAGACAACCAATGCCAAGGTGGCACTGCGTGCTCGGCAGGTCAGATATGAACAAAAAAATTGCTGATTTCTTAATTGTCCTGCAAATGAGAAACATGATTACGACAATCAGGGGCATTTGAGAAACCTTTTTTCCCCTAAGTAGATTTCCCCTGAAGAACACCATTTTTTTCTGCCATATGGGTAACAAGATTTGTAATCTGCTCTGAATTTGATGAAAGGAGAGATCATTACATGTAGTGATGGGGTCTGTGTAATGCTTCAGTTCAATCTTCCATTTCCAAAATGATAAATGAAAAAGTGGAAAATTGAATTCCATTTACCAAAATTGTATTTTTTATTTATAAAATCAATGTATAATTAAGATTTTGGAGTCAATTCCATGTATCATTTGTTCTTTGGTTTCGTAATTGGAAAAACACAAAGACGGGTTGGGGGGCAGGCCGTCCAGCATTGCCACGAGCAGGTACCGGTCCAAGTCCAGAGCAGGGTTTGGGTCTAGCCCGCCACAGAGTGAAGCAAAAAAAATGCTTGGTGTGTGTTGAGGGGTAGGGGTAAGGGTACCTAGAGAAGAGCAGCACAAATAGTAACAAAATGTTTTTTGGTTTTAAACAGAAAAACATATTTGTTTTGTATTTTTATATTTTTGCCATCTTGTTTTAAAACCGAAAAACACAACAACAATGCCGTTTTTTTTTTTTTTTTTCCAAATTGGTCTTGAAATGAAAAACCAAATATTTCTATTTGTGTGTTTGGGGTGCCGTATCCAAGCGCCAGACTAAACTTATGTCTGGTTGGCTGGCGGGAGCCGCTTGTCTCATCTATTGTCACACTTGCATTCAATGATTACATGATATCTGATCATGGTCTCCTCCCCACTCATTTAAATGCAGATTTTCCCTGTTTAGTGACATCAGAGTTTGGGATTAGACCAGTCAATGGATTAGATTTACGTATGTATGTTCAAATAAGGTCAAATCTTTTAAAAATGTGGATAGGCTCAAATTAAACTTCTAAGTGTTACCAGAGTGCCCAGAGATGCATCAGATAGGGTTAATTATTAAACATCTACTTTTCAACATTAGACAAATGTTTTATTGATTATCTATGGGGACACCACCAGATGTCACTATCTACTCTTTTTAACTTTTTCTTTTATTCGTGCTGTTTACCTAGGTCTTAATAGCTTCCCACCTCCCCTCTTATGAGCTACGACACAACCAGGTGGAGTCCATCTTCCTCTCTGCCATTGATATGTATGGACACCAATTCTGCATTGAGAACCTTCAGGTAGGCAGTAAAGGAGTATTATCTGTGGTTTTATGTAATGCTCTGAAAATGGAGAAAGCTTTAAGATGACAAAATATCCCTTTTTTTTCTAGAAACTGATCCTTTCAGAAACATCAATTTTTGATGTTCTGCCCAACTTCTTCTACCACAGTAATCAGGTTGTCAGGATGGCTGCCCTTGAGGTGAGATGAATGACAGTCTTAATCCACATATCAATTTGCCGTGAGTGAATTTGATTTGAATGCACGTTTAAAACTAATAGTAATAATAGTAACTAATAGTTTTTTGTGGCCTTATCCCCAATAAGGTGTACGTTCGCAGAGCATACATTGCGTATGAGCTGAACAGCGTTCAGCATCGACAGCTGAGGGACAACACATGTATAGTAGAGTTCCAGTTCATGCTTCCCACCTCGCACCCAAACAGGTATAACACACACCAAAGTTCTTGCAACGCTCACATGCTGTGCATCATCTTTGCTGCTGCTCCCCCCTTAAACGGCACTGTGGACAGGAATCAATACTTATTACAGAGATGAATATTGAATTTTCCATTGGTGGCAGTGATGCTGGAAAGTTGGCAGCGCCAGCATGTATTTGGTCACTGCGTTATGTTAATTTTAGCGGCATCACCTACAACTATCTTTTGTTGTTCCTTCTCACTGCCTTTTTTGGTTGTATCTCCCTTTGCCTCATAGACCACTGTGTGATTCAGTTGTCAAGGTGTTTGTGGCATAGGTGGGGGTGTTCTGTGGTTACACAAAACATATCACTCCAGTGCCTGGAAATCGCATACTTTTTGTGCCATAACTGTTATAAGATGAATATCTATGGCGCTGATTTAAAATCACTGCAGCAGTGAAGAGTTTACTTCACAATCTTACGTCCTCCATGGTGCCACGGTTTACTCTCCCACCTTCCCAGCTATGCGTCATTGTTCATATACGTTCTCCATGTAAATGCTTCTCATGTGCAAAAGAAGGTATTTTGCAAGACTGAAAATACTTTTCTTGGTTTGTCAGAAGTGTGTGAGCGCCATGAACAACAAAGGTCCCAGCCTCAGGAGTCTCATTGCCCTTCCTTGTTAGTCCTGGAAAAACCTTGGGGCACTCTTAAACCATATAAAACCTGAGAATCAGAGAGAGAATCAGAGAGAAACTAATAGACAAACTCCAAATATTTCTTGTACATGCTCAGCATTTAGAAAAGAAAAGAAAAGAAAAGCCTGTAACAAAAGAAGTACTGTGGCATTTCTGTTGCACTTGTGTTCTGCATCCTACCTGTGTGACTGTGTCCGGTTTGTCTGTGTCTCAGTGTGTGTACGTTTTGTGCGTATTTGTCTGTTAACGCTTTGCAGTGCTTGTATTTTTCTTTGCTGTGTTGGGTTCAGCTCTTTTTATACAGTTAGGTGAGGCAATCCTTTAAAATGCCGGCATGCACACATTTTATTGCATGTCTGTGATTGTATGTGTCCGAATTAACCTTCATGATTTGCTCATCACTGTGAACTAAATACTGCATGAGGATGTGAAATGATCCTCTGTCTTTGTTCAGAGTAAACCTCAGGACAAGGAGGCCTTAGGATCTCATGATGCATGTTGTAAAGGGAGCAGTCAGGATGTGAAATGTGTGTTTAGGGTTGGAAAGATATTTTCACTTTACTTTATTCTCAATTTTTGACATTCATTGCATTCATTTAGATATTGATAAATGCAAACTAAATTAAGTATTAAACAGCACACACACATACTTACACACACACATACACACCCATTGCTACACCTTGACTGTCTTCCTTTCCTGGTGCCTGCCACTAACCACTTAGTAATCAATGTTGTTTGATTGCAGAGGGAACATCCCCACTCTAAACAGGTATTGTAAACATTCTTTTTATTGCATAGACTACTAGTGACTGTAGGTTAGCTGGCTGCATGGTCAAAACAGTAATCTATGTTCTAAATAATTAATCTGGTTATTAAATCTACATATTGTTTGGTGTTTTGAAATTTTGCAAAAATGAAACCGATTTAACTACTGGAGTTTCGTCTGATTGAGAAAAGCAATGTTTAATTTTAACTGACAACAGCATGGCCCTTGGCATTCAGCCTCTGTGTCAAACATGTTTTTGAGTCTGTGTGTGTCTTTGTGGAAGAGAGTTATATTCCCAACTGTTGTGTGTATGAGCTTCAATATTTTGGAGATTTGGAATAACATGGGATGTAATGTGGTGTAAGATCATTTGAATTACATGTTGGAGGAATGTTGTGCATCAGTGCAAATCTCCTGAACTGAAACCTGTGACTGTCCTGCCAGGAAAATGTCTGCTCCAATCCTGGACATTGTAAAAGCCATGGACACTAAATTACAGGAAACTAAACCCCAGGACCTTAAAGAACAAGATAGTAAATCTAAGGATGATAATGCTGAGAAGATAAATGGCTCTGATTCGGAAGCTATGGACAGGTTTGACACACCAAACGTCTTGAGTACTTTCAGTGGGTGTAACCTCTGGGAAAGCTTCATACAATCACCACTATCAAGACTAACACCCCAAAAAATTAAATGTGAATATTTAAAGGGTCTTTCTGGTGGTTTTATGTTCATATTCCTGTAAAAGGAATCTTTTCTTTTTTTAATTTGACTAACTGTGATCTGTCAAAAATCCTTCACATACTGTATAGGTTGTGTTCACATGTAATGGTGTAATTATATTCCTACTTGCTTTTATAATTGGAACCTCACTCAGTTTTTATCATAAAGCGTCTCCTACAATTATTCCATTACCATTTCAATCTGCTGAAAAACTGAGGTATCAAACTGTTGTGAGGCTCTTAAAGGTGGATGGGGGATGTTGTCACAGAGTCATTCGACTGATCTGGTAGATTCCTATTGTAATTTCTCTCTGTCTGTACCCTAGGATGTCATTCTCATCCAATCTGAACCACTACGGCATGGTGCATGTAGCCAGTGTCAGTGACGTCCTGCTTGACACATCTTTTACACCACCTTGTCAGCGCATGGGAGCCATGGTCGCTTTCCGCTCCTTCCAGGAGTTCACCAGGTCAGTCCTTGTATAAAAATAGCCCTAAACTTGAATATATTTCGTCGGTAGGTGAAGATAATATTTCAAGTGTGATTAATGGCATGCATGACTTTGCTCCTATGCAGGAACATAGCAGACGTGTTGAGCTGTTTCTCCGACTCCCCTCCCCCAAGTCCAACCTTCCCAGAGGGAGGTAATCCTGTCCTGTATGGTGAAGAGGACAACAAGGTGACGAGAACGGACTTCTGATGGTCACAGGCCTGTCATTGACCTGTATGACTATGTACCTTTTGAATGTAAATGTGTTTTTGCTTTGTCATCCAGAGTGTCCAGGATGAGCCTATCCATATCCTGAATGTGGCTATAAAGACTGACAGCGACATTGATGACGATGGCCTGGCAGCCAGCTTCCGAGAGTTCACTCAGTCAAAGGTGGGAGCGGTCTACAGCAAGACCTTTTTGTTTCTGTTGATTTCAGCAGAGAGATAAATGTTTGAGATGGCTCAGAAAGATGTTCTCATCCTGACATTTTGCCTTTTTCCCGGTCCAGAAATCACTGCTGTTTGAACATGGCATCCGTAGGCTGACTTTCCTTGTGGCTCAGAAGGTGAGGGCTCTAATTAATACTGACCAAATCTACTACCTGTCTCCACAATCTGCTGCCCTGCTTGTCACCAATTCAAAAGTTCTGAACAGCATGTATCAACATTTTATAAATGAAACGCCCTGCATCCTACTTTTTGTAATTAATACTAATACTTTATTTGATTGTTTATGTGGAATAACAATATTGTGGTAATTGTAATAATTTGCATTTGGAATTTAGCTTATCATCCTGTTTGTCTCTATCTCTTTCTGCATGCCTTGCTTTTGCTACATTTATGATGACAGGATTTCAGGAAGCAAGTCAACTGTGAGGTGGACCAAAGGTTTCATGTAAGTAGAGGAAGACAAAGGAAATGAGGACAGGTGGCCCTTTGATTTGATTTGATTTGATTTGATTTGATTTGATTTATTGAACAAGTATCAATGCATTTGGTTAATCACAGTTCAAACACGCCCTACCATGGAGGTGCACATTAAATATCCAGACAGTCAGTTGCATTATTTCTGTTTTAAAATGCTGTGGACAGTCCACAGGGGGTAGATTAATGACATCAAAAGACAGTGTACTGATATTCCCAAGCTATTGGGTCCTGCAATTTCAAGGCTTATTCAACTGTTGCACCAGTGTAAATAAAAGAAACCTTGACACATCATTGTTCTGAATCAATAAAGGTTTGGATTGGCTACAGTTTGTTTTTAAGCTACAGTCATTAAAACCCCAGAACTAGGAATTGAACCCCCAATCACAGCAGTTTTCTGACATATTGTCTATTGTGCTGTAGTACACAGGGCTGCATTTATCTGACCAGGGTTGACCCATTATCAGCACGCACTAGCATTCAGATGATGGAGATAATGACAGGGATTTAGAAAAGGATTAGATTTTGAGAAATGCCCCGTTCTTTCGCCTCTGCTGTCATTTTGACAATGGGCATTGATTCCTTTTTGATGGCACCACGGTCTCTGATGAGAGCTAATCATGGAAACTGGTGTCACCGTCATTACATGACCCTTGTTACACGGAGGTTTTTTTTTTTGTAGTCTTCTCTGTTCACTATATTGTGGAGGGGATGTGATCAGTGTCAAATCATGGCTTTAGAGGTTTCCAGTGTGTGCACTGTTGCAGTTCTCTTGTTATCGTGTAGGCTGTGAGCTGATGACAGCATCTCCAATCGGTCTGGCATTGTTTTGGCAAGTGGGACACTTCATCTGATAATGTCAAACAGGGCTACCAGGCATTATTCAGAGGATCAAATGTTTTTTGAAAAAAGGGAATGTTTTATTCATTAACGTAGTGAGTGGTGCTATAAATATAAAGCCTATTACCATTATTATGTGAGCTTGCTGTCTGAGTGAATACAAAGTGATTCCCTGATAGAGAAATGAAAGCAGTGAAGTAGTATACGGCTCACTGCATGTAGAACAAGGTCCTGTTCATCACGGAATAATACTATACTAGCAAACTAAGCAAAGCCCAGTATAACTTATGGTCACCTGCTGTGATTAGGTTTATAGTTGGTACATTTCTAACTCATTTAGTATTTTCTAACAATGCTGTGCTTGCAAACATGTTTTTTTCTTGAGCCGTTTATGATTTATTTTTGTTCTTTCTATCTCTGTCTCACTATCTTACACAGAGAGAATTCCCCAAATTTTTCACATTCCGCGCCAGAGACAAGGTGGGTATCACAAAGTATTACCATGTGTCAGCTCACTTTTAACTCTAAAATGCCTTTTTATTTTAGTGAACAAAAAAACGATCGATAGACTTTCCTTTGGCTGCGAGACCATTCAAAACTATGTTTTCACTGTTAACTTTTCACCTCTTTGAGATGCTGACTTTCACTCTATCACAATCAGTGATGGCTCTTCCTCTCTGTTACCCCTGATAGTTTCACTACAATAACACCACCAAAACTCATTAAAGTAATGAAGTCTTTAATTATGTCTCCCATTTAAGTGAAATGACACCCATTACCAGCTTTCTGAGATTGAGATTGCTCATGGTTTCATTGACTTAATACAGTGTGTGGCTCACAGGCATCTTTTTACTATTATATCAACTCTGTGCTGCTGAAATTGCCAATTTGAACTACTTCTGTTAATGGAGGAGTTTATGGCAGGGAAGCTCAACTTGTAAAGAAAAAGTTCTTCAGGAAAGTCTTTGAACATGTCCATTTAAAATGTTTTGTGTGACTGTGTCCTGCCTCTCTATAGTTTGAGGAGGACAGGATCTATCGTCATTTGGAGCCGGCACTAGCTTTCCAGTTGGAGCTCAACCGCATGCGCAATTTTGCCTTAACGGCAATCCCATGTGCCAACCACAAAATGCACCTGTACCTGGGTGCAGCGCGCGTGGAGGTGGGCACAGAGGTTACGGACTACCGTTTCTTTGTGCGAGCCATTATCCGCCACTCTGATCTGGTCACAAAGGTGAGAGAACGGAGGAACCAGGAACCATTGCACTCCCTTTTTTTAAGTTGGTTTTAGAAGTTTTGGAATTTGCAACACAATCATTTATCTCCCTTTTTTTGATGTTATAAGTTATTCATACATGCTGACAATGACAGATTGTTTTCTTGTTCACTCACTAGGAGGCCTCCTTTGAATACCTTCACAATGAGGCAGAGCGTCTGCTGCTGGAAGCCATGGATGAGCTGGAGGTGGCTTTCAACAACACAACTGTACGCACTGACTGCAACCATATCTTCCTCAATTTTGTCCCCACAGTCATCATGGACCCATCAAAGGTTTGTGGAACTATCACACATTTGTATATCTGATACGCTGTCCGACTAGCTCACATTGTTATTAATGAGTTTACTGCTTTCTAATCTTGCTCTACTAACTTCAGATCGAGGAGTCTGTGCGCTCCATGGTGATGCGTTACGGCAGCCGTCTGTGGAAGCTGCGTGTCCTGCAGGCTGAACTGAAAATTAACATCCGCCTGACTCCAACAGGAAAGCAAATCCCCATCCGCCTCTTCCTCACCAATGAATCAGGCTACTACCTGGACATCAGCCTGTACAAGGAGGTCACTGATTCTAGAACGGGACAGGTGGGGCCCAAAGACCGACAGGTGGGGCACTCATACATCTTCCATCTCATCTGCTTATTGTCCCGTCGCGGGCGAAAGGCTTCAGCTCCATCTTGGATACCTTAACGCCCAGAATGCAATTTACCAGCCTGTCTTATAAAGTATAAGATAGTAATTTTTACATATAAGAATTTAAAACGTCTTACTTTACTTACTGGGGTAGAGATCCAGTATGGTGTCATGCCCCTAGCCTGGTGGACAATTCTTTCAGTAATATCCTTTCTCCTCGCAGCTCATTAGGTAAGTTACACTTCATCCAGCCAGCCAGCCATCCATACATCTGTCCATCATCACATCCACCCGTTAAAGGAACGAATGTTGAATACCTGTAATGGGCTTTAGTAAAATCTGAAATGAAGGAAAGAAATGACCATTATCCTTGTATACATTCAATTCTTGTTAATTTTTTAGTTTCAAGTTTGTTTGTTTTTTCATTTTTGCTGGGTGGTTGCTTTATTAGTTCCATAATATTGAATGGGGGAAAAAATTGGTTTTTATTTAGTCTCCATTTAAAGGGGAACTTGGCAACTCTAGCCATTTCTTCGCTGGTTTTCATTTTTGTCATCGC